TTTTTTTTTTTTTTTTTTGGGTGTATCTGGCCATAAGTGCCTTACTTTCCATACGAGGCAATCAAACGAGTGAGTGAGTGAAGGAGATAAAAAAAAAATACAAAAAAAAGGAGAGAGGAGTTGACCTCGGAGATTGGACCTAAGGGCCTCTCTCCACTACTCCACGTTCTGCATGTATATCTTGAATGTGGCTCGACCAAGTACATTCTAACTGATCAAACATGTTGAATGTATCGGGACCATTACCAGCTTCAGATACGTTGAGAATGTTGCACATTGGATCGAGTCCCTAAAGCACACAATGACTACGTTCTAGGCTACCAGAGTGGCCCGGGACCACCTGCCCGGCCGGGCCAAAAATAAATTAAAAACTAAATACAAATAAATATTTTTGATTTTTTTTTTTTTTTTAATTTGCTAAAGAATTTCGATGTGACACTGAGGCAGCAGTTGTTCAGTTGGGGTGTTTTTTGCTCGTTTGGCGGTGTTCACCGCTGTGTTGTTCGTCTTTCCGCATTTGTTTCGGCTTTTGCTTTCATTCGTTTTTAGAGTCAGATTGGTGAGCATATCCCCCCCCCCCCCGGGCCTTCATCATCCAGGGCGGTGAAGTTCCGTTAGGGGGCGGTAGCCGATTGGGGCCGTGGACTATCCGAAATGGCGAAGTTCCGTTAAGGGCCGTGAAGTTCCGTTAGGGGCCGCGAAGTTCCGTTAGGGGCCATGAAGTTCCGTTAGGGCCGGTGAACTTCCGTTAGGGGCGGTGAAGTTCCGTTTGGGGGCGGTAGCCGATTGGGGGCAGTGGACTATCCTAAATGGCGAGGAGGACAATCCGACGGATGTATCTTACCAACCTCGGGATTCAGGGTTTGTCGGGTCTTCGGCCCCTGCCGTGCGGGTGGTTGCGGGGTCTGCATCCGTTGGATTGCAAAAGCACCATCATGGTTGGAGTTGGTGCCTTTTGGTGACGAAGTGTGTGAGGGATGGGGGGGGGGTTTGCGGGGTCTGCATCCGCAGCCGGGGGGCTGGTGATATGGAACCCTGCCGTGCCGGTGGCAGGGCGGTTCTGCAGAGAGGGGGGGGGGGGGGGGGGGGCTGATTGCCGGATGATAGCCTTTTGGTTTCGTTGTCCGCCTTCACTAGTACTTGGTTGGGATTTTGTAGCCTGCTGACCATTTCGTTGTTCGTTTTGACTAAGTTTTGTTGAGGTTCGTAAGTTGTCGGTTTTCTTCGTCACAAAGCTTGTTTTTCATGTGAGGTTTTCATGTGAGGGTATGCCGGACCCGGTTTCCGGCTTTTAAAATACAACAGCAACGGTATGAACCGGGCGGGAGTGCCCGGATGATGCCGGGAAGGTTGCCCCTTGGATAAGAAAGGAAAAAAGAAAAAAAAGAAAAAAAGTTGTTGAGTTCATGCCTCCTCAGCCTGGAAAGTGTTAGAGCGAAAGACGGAGAGCTCAGGGAACAGATTAAGGAACAGATCCAGATGGAATTGCTGCGTAGATGGTATGATTTGAAGAACCAGCTGGATACCTTCCAAATGGACCAGGACATTAAGCGGGCCCTTAAGGCTTTCTGCACGGAATGGCTCGGAGGAGACCGAGGGGGATGGGTAGCTAAGATTCAGTGGGGAGGGGATCAATTAGATGGACAGGGTGGAGCAGAATACCCCCCCCCCCAGAGATTACCGCCTGGTTTTTAATGATTGGACCAATTTAGAGCCCTCGTTTCCTATGCGACCCCCTTCTGATTTCCCGGACCCTTTCCCTCCCCACCCGCTTTCTTTAGTCGAGCCCCTTACTTAACCATTCCCCCCCGGGTGCCCCCCTGGGGTAACACAAAGATGTCTAAAGATATAGCAGGAAGGGATGACAGCTGGTCACACCCGCAGATGACTGCATGGTTGCATGGTTGCAAGGGGATCATTCGAGGAAGGGCTGGGTGACTGGAGGACCCACTGGTGTCCCCCAGTGGCTCCTCCCGGTACCCTGACCAGATGAAGGGTTGAAGAAGGAGAAGGGGATCAGCTGGACTCCTGCTACTCGCCTACACATCTCAGGCATCTTTCTGCATAAGGGCTGCTGTTTCCAGGCCCATGGCGCTGTCTCTTATACACATCTAGATGTGTATAAGAGACAGGATTAAGGGTTGAAGAAGGAGAAGGGGATCAGCTGGACTCCTGCTACTCGCCTACACATCTCAGGCATCTTTCTGCATAAGGGCTGCTGTTTCCAGGCCCATGGCGTCTGCAGATTATGGACAGCTGGTTTGGTGATTACATTTAGAGAACCTTCGCAACCAGTCCTGGACTCCAAAGCCTGTCTCTTATACACATCTAGATGTGTATAAGAGACAGGTGCATAACATAGTTCTTTTTCAGGTTTTGTGGAATTTTTTTTTTTTCCGGCTGGGACCTTCCCTGGTCCTTGCACGCCCGGGCCGCCCGGGAAAACAGGGTGACCCGGGCGGCCCGGCTTGTAGCGTAGATGGATGGTCGATTGACTGGCTAATATAATCGAATTCCTTCGAAATCCATTCGAAAATTTTATCGAAGGTAATGGAAATTTGATTGGAATTTAGAAGAGTTTGATTGGAGTTCGATAAGAATTTAGTTGGAAATTAATAAGAACTTTGTGTGGAGGGGGGGGAAGGGGGGGCCATGGGGCTTGATCTTGTTGGCATCCGGGGATAACCTTTTTTTTTTTTTTTTTTTCCCTTTGCAACTGTGATAACTTGACACTCTGCTCTCTACTGCTGAAGGGAGCCTGCAGGTTTGGCCCAGGTCGATTGTTGCCGTCAACAAATTAGGAAGACCTGGGAGGGGGCAGCGGGCGTCTGCCCTTGGTGAAAGCATAGCTGGGGCCACGCCGGCGACCAACGATTGTGTTCGAGATCCTTCAGCCAACAATCAGGTAAAGGTCAAGCATCTTTTTTTTTTTTTTTTTTCCCAAGGCCAACCATCTCGGCCATCAGCATTATTCGATCAACATACGAGGGGAAAAAAAAAAAAGGACAAAAAAAGAACAGAGAGACCAGATCAGAGTCACAAGGTGGCGGGCAATACTACGTACATGTCATGATTACAACTGTCTTCCCCCCAATAGAACGCAAGGTCGTTATGGCTTTTTTTTTTTTTTTTTTTCCCCCCCTTTTTTTTAGATTGTGGCTGGCAACGTGCAGAGTAAATATAGCGAGAATAATAAACGTGCGTTCTATTCGGGTGAAGACCGCAGTACAGAGGAAGGGCCACAGACAGCAGCACAGGGGAAGGGCCACGGGCAGCAGATAGAGGAAATCTCGAGTGCCAACCAACTCTGCTATGTGAAAGAAAGGTTTGACCGAAGGGCCACATATTCATGTCGGGATCTGGACATATTCATGTCGGGATCTCGACAATGTCTGAGGGTAGCCAAAAATGGCAGTAAAACAGAAGACTCTATGATAAACGTTGATGTACCAAAAAAAACAAATACGGTGGGTCGGCGAAAGATTCCGTAACCCCAACATGGCATGAGCATCGGATTAAAATTATGGAACTTAATAATTCGTTTTGGAGTCTGGACTTCTTTTTTGTTTTTGTTTTTTGCATGCGCTGTGGACGTTTGTGAAGAGTGAAGAGGAAGGGAAATTTTACGAACTGATAGAAAATGGCAATGGGAGGTAGGTAGGAGGACGGGAGGAAGGTAGGCGGTTTCCTCTCTACCTTCCTCTCTCTCTCTCTCTCTCCCATCATATAATGTTGCATGCATTGGCTACAAGATGTTACAGAATGGAGAATGGGAAGGAGAACAGGACTCTTTCACACATACCTCCTCCTCTCTCACTGCTTGCTATCTTCCCCACCTGAATTGCTCACACAATCTCTCTCTCTCTCTCTCACTCTCTCTCTCTCTCTCTCTCTCTCTGTGTGTCTGTGTCGCTGTCTCTCTCTCTCTCTCTCAATCACACACACACCTCCTCCTCTCTCACTACGTGGCATCTTCCCACCTGAATTGCTCACCTCTCTCTCTCTCTCTGTTGCTGTCTCTCTCTCTCTCTCTCTCTCTCTCTCTCTCTCTCTCTCTCTCTCTCTCTCTCTCTCTCTCTCTCTCTCTCTCT